ATTTTAACTTTCCACTCTTCAGTGATGTGATAAGTTATTAACACATAATCTAACATAAAAAAATTGGCCGGGTGCAATGACTCATTCCTGTAATCCCAGCCCTTTGGGAGGCCGACGCGGTGGATCCAGAGGTCAGGAGATCGAGACCAGCCTGGCCAATATGTTGAAACCCCGTCTCTACTAAAAATACAAAAATTAGCCAGATGTGGTGGCACGTGCCTGTAATCCCAGCTACCCGGGAGGCTGAGGCAGGAGAATCGCTTGAACCCGGAAGGCAGAGGTTGTGGTGAGCCGAGATCACACCATTCTACTCCAGCCTGGGTGACAAGAGTGAAACTCAGTCTCAAAAAAAAAAAAAAAAAAAAAAAAATCAAATTTGAATTATAGCCAAATCTATATGAAATATTTAATTTTGCAAAAAAAAAAAATTGATACAATGACCTCCAACCTTGTTCACCTTTTTTTATCTTCAATATGTCACACAGAGTTTGGCACATAATAGATGATAAATAAATTATTTTGACTCTATTGAGTAAATGATGATAATATTTCACATTCTCTCAATATAATAGTTGAATTCTATGTGTACCTTCTTACTTAGCAGCTAGTTTCACTTCAAAAGAGGCTTCTTCCTCCACGTGAAATACAACGGAGGGTCATTATGGTTTGTCTCAATTTTCCATACAACTTCTGCAATATTCCAAGCAAATGTGTTTCCCCAGTCAGGATTAATGGCCAGTGTTACACAGTATCCTAACCGCATCTAAAGCTGGAATTTGCAAACATCCTTTTGGAACAAAAAAATTTATGTTATAATAATACTTATCCAGTCTCATGATCCAGTAAAAGAAATTCTTCCCCACAACCACATTTTCCCAAAACCACATCTTTATGAAGCTGGAAACATCATCTCAGAAAGCACTGAAAGAAAAGTGCTGAAAACACTGAAAGAAAAATTCACCGTGCTCGGTAATATAATCTTATCATCCTTGCAATAAGAAGATACTGTGTGTATGAATGTGAGTGTGAGTGTGTGTGTGTGTATGTGTATGAGTGTGGATGTGCGTGTGTGTGCATTTTCTCATAGAGACTCAACCACATGAAAATAGTTTCTCTTTGGATTGCATTACTAAGAGGCACTGGCTCATTAGTGGAGCACATACACACTTCTGGGGAGTGATAGGAAATGTCAGACTACTCAATCTGCCTAAGTTATAGCTGATAGGGTTGTTTATTTCAAGACTTTCTATAAATTCAGAATTAAATATGAAAAAGCACAGAGACCCCATAAAATGTACTATGTAAAATTCGGCAAATAATCTAAGTACAAAATATGAAGAGATGTGTCTGATCAATCAAAAGGAGACATGGAATATTGTATTTCCAGGCCAGATCTGCCTGATCTCTTCAACTGTTTTACTTTATGCCCTGTGTTATTCTGGGTTCTCTCATCTTATCACATGAATTGCAATTATGTAACATTTATTAGCAAACAAAATATTGGTTAATGCACCCTTTTCTCTCCACTGGCTAAGGGTGGATTTGAGGACCAATCCTAAATTGGCCTGCTTGGGAAAGCATTGATGTTGTGTATCTGAGGGGGTAGGGTTTGCAGGAGCGGGGATGCTGGAATCCCTGTTCCTCACTTGGACAATCTTGAGCACATCAGGTCAGAAAAGTGTGAATCCATGAGACTGTGGACAGTTGGCCGCGTGGGGGCGCTGTGGCTCCACAACGCTGCAGGGAACCCTGGAGAGGGGTGGGAGGGTGACCCAGGAGAGGAGGGTGGAAGGGAAGCCTGGTTGTCTGCAGGAATGAGCGGGGCGATTTGAGTTCAGAGTGGACCCTGAGTTAAACACAGACTCCTCATTGCCAGAGAAGGGTAGGGGTGCCAAGGGTCTCAATTTGCCCCAAGGAAAAAGTGTCTCTGTGTCTGTATGGGTAGTGGAGGGTGCTGAGGCTGGGGTGTCAAGGGCTGGGGAATGCTTCTCAGGGCAGGGACTGGGTGGGCAGGCTTAGGAAAGTAGGGCTTGTTGTGAGCATGTGGGCGCTGTGCTGCACCTGCCCCGCCTTTTGTTTAGGGGCCCCGCAGAGCAGGGATGGAACATGGAATAGCAGAACCTGAGGCCTGCCTAAGGATACAGTGAGCTCACAGTGTCCTGCAGGGCCAGTAACTGGAAAGGCCAGTTTCCTATGGAAATGCCAGAAATATTCCTGCCCTGATGGAGGCTCAGGGTCTGGTGGTGGCAGCCTTTGCCAGGCACTCTGCTGCTTCTTCTTTTTTTTTTTTTTTTTGAAGGAGTCTTGCCTTGCTCTGTCACCCAGGCTGGAGTACAGTGGTTTGATCTCAGCTCACTGCAGCCTTTGCCTTCTGGGTTCAAGAGATTCTCCCATCTCAGCCTCCTAAGTAGCTGGGATTACAGGCACCCACCACAAACCCTGGCTAATTTTTTGTATTTTTAATAAAGATGGAGTTTTGCCATGTTAGCCAGGCTGGTCTCAAACTCTTGACTTCAAGCGATCTGACTGCCTCTGCCTCCCAAAGTGCTAGGATTACAAGTGTGAGCCACTGTGCCCGGCCCCTCTGCTGCTTCTTCATGTGATCTGTTTTAATTCTGACAGAAATCATTCAAAATAAGTATTATCTTACCTGTTTATACATTTGACTGAAGCAGCTTTCCTAGGTCTCACATACACTCTGATTTCAGGCTTGCTGTAGTGAACAGTTATGTGCAAGTCCCCATTCACCTCAATCTAGCAGTGCCCTTCCACAGGTGCATGCTGGGAGTCTCTCTACTTCCTCCCCAGGGCTCTTCCATGATGTTATCTGAGCCCACCTGATCTGTACTCAAAGACAGCCAGAGGTCCTGATGCTCCTGTTGAGACAGAGGGCTAACGCTCCAGCCAGTCCATTCATGCAGAAACTTCAAACAGCATTCTATGTGCTCCTGAGAGGCGCTGACAGATTCCATCTCCTGTTGCTCCAACACAAACTCAATATTGCACTTTATTCCTGGCTTCTTCCTTCCCTATTTTATGTTTCTTTCTTAATTCTTCCTGGAGCCATTTCCCACATATCATGCACCTAAGTCCCCATCACAGACTTTGTCCTCAGGGACAGCCTATACTGTGGCAGTGATGGAATGAAGCCACCATCCAAAGACCCTTCCCTTTGAAGGAGACCATTGTTTTTCTTTTACTCATACCACTACCCATTCATTTAAAAAGTGTAATGATGACGTATATAAACTAATCTCTTCCAGGTTCATTTGGAATTATTTCTGAATTCTCAGCAGCCTCAGGATGGCTCTCTGTTCCCTTAAAACTCTGAACGCAATTTGAACTGAATAGACTTGGGTTCTCTTTACAGAAGCAGAGTTTGCCTGGACTCAGGTAATCATTCATTCCATTTTTCTTTCATTCAACAAATCTTTCATGAGCTGCAGGTGCAGAGTAGATTCACGTTTTGTGGGGCACAAAGCTGATACAATTTTAAGGAGCTCCTTGCAAAGGAGAATGCAAAATGACAAAGTGTTGGAAAGGTCCTGTGTGAGTGAGAAGGCCTGAGGTTATTCTTCATTGACTTCATGGCAATTGCATAAGTACTGTCCAGGTATGTGGGAAACACCAGCACAGAAACCAGACAAAGCTTCAAGTTGAGGTAGACACTTCCAAAAAAATTGTTTTAACTTATTACACTTAATAATGAGTTAATTAAAAAGTAAAAGAATATATTCCTTGTAGATGCTTTTCTCCCCAAAAAAGTTAGAGTGCTGTTGAAAGTACTGACATTCTTGGTAGATTACACCTCATTTAGGGAAGGATCCTTAGAGTTCTGGGATTCTATGTGCCCTACCCCCAAAATGAAAGTCCCGCACTGGAAAGCTTTTATTTTTCCCTCTGCCCTGGCCCAACCATGAGGATTGGCTCCTTTGCTGTGTGGCTCTTGGTCTCCCAGGACCAGGTGAGTTCTGGGCATAGATGGGAAAGTCCTTCCTGGGCTAACTAGGCCCCAGCCACGGCCTCCCATGGGGGTGCTCATGGGCCTTCTCCCTGTCTCCACTTCTGATTCTGTGTCTTCTCTCACTGGAGCATGATTGCGGGAATTACCCATCCAGGTTGCACCAAGATGTGCAATAGATAATCTGTTGTATCTGAGGAAACAATAGCAGTGCTATTGACTGGATGTAAGTTTGGCGCCAAAGCATGTTTACACTTCCTCCAATCTTCTCCCATTTGGTGAATACGAGATCTTCTGAATGGAAATAGAACATTTCTCTGTGACCCTAGAGACTCCAGATAGGTGTAGTTCTGGGTGAATATTTCATCCACTTTCTTAATGAGCCTCCTCTTTTCTTCATAGGAAGTACAGTTACTTAGAGGACTTAGGTGGTGAGTGTTTGTGGCTTCACCTGAAGCAAAGGGAAAAATCGTCCTCATGAGAACACACAGCAGCCTGAGCTCGGATGGCGAGGCTCCCATCAGGTGCCATGAGGTGCTAAGGTGTGAAGCGAGTCTTCAAATGTGAATGACCTTGAACTCATAACTTTGAAACCTTTCTGGATGTCAGTTGACTCTTTTAACCAAGGGTATCTCTGTAGGCTGAAATACAAATATCTAGAGGTTAAACAAAGTGGAAAAAAATTCAACTGGGAGTTGAATTTTGTATAGAGAAGTCATAAAAGACACCAGGACTGCTATGACAATATTCTTTGGACTACAGAAATATTCAGAAGTGTTAAAACAGCATTCAAATGAAGAATTTAGCATAATGGGAATAAAATATGCATAGAAGAACAAATTTCCCTACTAAAATCAGGGAAGGCGATTACACATTTTAAGATTTCTTTCAAAACAGATCTACAAATTTTTCCCAATCTAAGCTTCTCAACTATCTCTGTAATAAATGATTTATTCCTGTGGGGAAGAGAAGGGGCGTGGCAGGTTAGCTCTGCAGTTCAAGCATTTAGCAGGGACAGTGACATCATCAAGTCACTGAGAGCTCAATTTCAATTTGCCCACAGCAGGGCTGGGAGTCACAAGATCCTGCCCTGGAGCTGAAATGGGCACCAGGCTCTTCTTCTATGTGGCGCTTTGTCTGCTGTGGGCAGGTGAGGGCTGGTCACAGGAAGGCCTCCTTCCCTGGAATTCCCAAGGCCTCAGTGCAAGCTTTTCTGTTAGGATGACAGCATCAGTGTCTGTTGTTCTCTATTACAGGACACAGGGATGCCGGAATCACCCAGAGCCCGAGATACAAGGTCACAGAGACAGGAAGGCAGGTGACCTTGACGTGTCACCAGACTTGGAGCCACAGCTATATGTTCTGGTACCGACAAGATCTGGGACATGGGCTGAGGCTGATCCATTACTCAGCAGGTGCTGGTATCACAGATAAAGGAGAAGTCCCCGATGGCTATGTTGTCTCCAGATCAAAGACAGAGGATTTCCTCCTCACTCTGGAGTCAGCTACCCGCTCCCAAACATCTGTGTATTTCTGTGCCAGCAGTGAGTCCACAGTGCTGCACAGCTGCCTCCTCTCTGCTCATAAAGGGCAGTTAGAAAAACTGAGGTTGCCTGTGCGCCCGAGTCTGGGCCCCACGGTGGGAAGTCCGGGCCTCCATAGGAGTCCCAGAGCACTGCCCAGTCTGGGGGTGTCTTAGAGCAGGGGCCATATGACCCTCAGTGCTGTGGCTCTATTCCTAACCCTGTCTCAGATGATCTGGAGTTTGCCCCAACACCCTAACCTTGCTGGATTTCTCTTCCGCAGCTCTCTTTTTCTGCTTGCAGAATGGAAAAGATATTTTGTTCATATTCCCAATTCCCTTCATAATTTGAAAGCCAACATATTCTTCAGTGACTTCTTCATAAAAACCTTACCATATCCTCTACTACCCTTCAACTCACAGACACAAACCTTCCCCCATGTGGTCCCTGCTCCTGGCTGCCTTTCTTCTGAGGGCAATAGCCCTACAAGGTCCTCTGTCATTTGTCCTTCACCTTCCTCTCCACCATCATTTTGCCTCAAGTTTCCCCCCGCTCTCCACTCCAGCCACATTCCCCTATGTTCAGTTACAGCTTCATAGGTGTAGTGTTGTTTTCTACCCTGGGGATTGTTTATGAATAATAGATTATTTCTACTTCACTGAGCATATGTGCCTCCAACTTATTCCCAGGCCTCTCCTTCATTCCTTACATAAACATCTATTTCAGGTATGTTTACTCTTAACTGTGAAAAGCAAGACAAATTTTACTAGAAAAAAATTAAGAAATATATTTTAGCACTCATTTGAGGAATTAGTTTTTTAGATGACACATGAGAAAACCAGAAGCCACAAAAATATTTGAGGCCGGGAGCGGTGGCTCATGCCTGTAATTCCAACACTTTGGGAGGCTGAGGCAGGCGGATCACTTGAGGTTGGGAGTTCGAGACCAGCCTGACCAACATGCAGAAACCCCATCTCTACTAAGAATAGAAATTTAGTTGGGTGTGGTGGTGCATGCCTGTAATCCTGCAAACTCGGGAGGCTGAGGCAGGAGAATCGCTTGAACCTGGGAGGCGGAGGTTGCAGTGAGCCGAGATTGTGCCATTGCACTCCAGCCTGGGCAACAAGAGCAAAACTCCGTCTCAAAAAAAAAAAAAAAAAAAAAAAAATCCTAACTCCAGTTGCCTTAAACTAAACTTTTGTACACCAAAACATAGTATAAGAAATGAAATGTTAAGCCACAGCACGGGAAAAAATTGAGGAATGCAGATGAAGAAAAATCAGTGTGACAAAGAAGACTCAGGTTCACCTACGGCTCCTCTATGCTTCCTGGCCTCACCTGCACTTAGAGGGCTGGGAGCATGTCACCAGGTTCTGAATAGTGGGAGGTGAGTAAAAATAATGCTAGCCCAATTTCAAGTCTAGCCGTTAAAAATATCCTATAGCTCTGTGCTGAGGGTCCCTGAGCGTCCTCCCATGTTTAGAGATTTGGCATATGGCATAGAGCTATACTCACAGCTAAGATTTTTTAACATGTCATAGTAAGTTGTCAGCAGCGGATCATATGGAGAAAACACACAGGTGGAATCTGGAGGAACCCAAACTCAGGCCTCCTTATGCTCTCTTCCTCCCAGGGGGGGTCACACAGGGTTCTTGTTTCACTCAGTAGCAAAAACGCATTAACACATGTCCAGTGCTTCTGCCAGGTGAGTCCATCAGAGACTCAGCAATCATGAGGTTTTAGAGGAGGCTGGTCACAAGCACATATTGCCTAGCATTAACCAAAATTTCAGACTCCAGAAGGAAATCTGGTGTTCAGTACAATACTGTTTGCAACAGCAGTCTAGGCACAATGAGCCGCTTCTCTCAGGAGAAATTTTGTCAGTGCCAGGCACTGCTCGCCAGTCAAATTGCCAAAGATAGCCAAAGTCCAATCTTGCAAGCAGGCAGTCTCAAGCCTGCTCTCAACTCTTTTCTGCACAGACACTCTTCAACTCTCTTTTGCCACGTCTGGATGAATTTGGGAGCTTCATGGCACAGATTATAAACTGGAAGCAACTTGGCTCCCTGGGTCATAATTTGGTGGACAGCCATGGAAAAAAGCTACTCATGCCCTACTGGGTTTTGTGGTCATGAGAGGTAAGACCTGATAGAGTTCAGCCACTGAGATTTTAGGATTTGTTTTATTTTATTTTATTTTTTCTGTAGCATAGGTGTCCTTTTCTAATAAAGTTAGTGTATAAATGAGTAAAACATTCTCATTAATAAGAGGACAGCCCAATAAAAATGGCAATAGTGAAGCTGAATAGGCAATTCACACAAGTGAATGTAAGTTACCACTAAACATGAGAATAACTTTTTAACCTTACTTATAATCAGAATATAGCAACCTGAAATAATAAGTTATGATTCAAAAATTACTAGATCAGAAACTTTTCAAAGGAGTAACAGTCCTAAATTTGACTAGACATTTGGACTAATGAAAACTGCTTATATATCCACTGCAAGAGATAATGACAACTACGTCGGAAAACCCACTGTGGGATATATTGTGACTAATAGCATTTCTTGAGAAATTATCACTGTGTATAAATCATCTGGGTTCCTTTTCTTGTCTTTAGGTTCAATCATGGAGAATTCAACTTTAAGTATTTATTTTTCCTATTGCAAAGGTAGTTTGTTAAAAAAAATCTTTTAAAAAAGTGGGCCAGGCACGGTGGTTCACACCTGTAATCCCAGCTACTCAGAAGGCTGAGGCAGGAGAATCTCTTGAACCCGGAGGCACAGGTTGCAGTGAACCGAGATTGTGTCACTGCACTCCAGCCTGGGGGACAGAGTGAGACTCCAGTTCAAAAAAAGAAAAAAAAAAAGGGTGGGTGGGTGGGGGAAATATGTGTAACATATAATTTTGTCACTTTATTTTTAAATTGTACAGTTCAGCAGCATTAAGTTCATTCACTATGTTGTGGAACTGTCACTATTATCTGCTTCCAAATTGTTTTTCATTGCCTCAAACAGAAACTCAATACCCACAAAAGAATAACTCTGCATTCCCCCTCTTTCTGCTAACCTCTAATCTAATTTCTTTCCAAATGAATTTGCCTATTGTAGATGATTTATGTGGAATAATACACTACTCTTCCTTTCGTGTCTTGTTTCTTTCACTTAGCACAATGCTTTCAAGGTGCATTCATGTTGTAGCATTTATCAGAACTTCATTCTTTTTCATTTCTCAGTAATATTTTGTTGTATATATATACCACATTTGTTTATTCATTCATTGATTGATTAACATTTGGGTTGTTTCCACCTTGTAGATATTGGTAATAATGGTGCAAAGCATATTGCCCTGAAAATATCTGTTTGATTCTCTGTTTTCAATTCTTTTGGTCTATGCCTAGGAATGAAACTTCTGGGTCATTTGGTAATTCTATGTTTCTCCTTTTAAGTAACTACCAGAGTGGTTTTTTGTTGCAGCTGCACAATTTTAGATTCCTACCAGCAATGTCAAATTTCTTCATAGAATTGCCAGTACTTATTTGTTATTTTTCTTTTCAAAGATATTATTAAGATGATTATTGCTATTTTGTATAGCCATCCTAGTCAGTGTGGATAATATCTCACTGTGGTAGTGATTTGCATTTCTCTAATGACTAAAAATGTTAAGTGTCTTTTCTTATGCCTATGAGCAATTTGCACACCTTCTTTGGAGGTACTTTTTTGTCTGATTTTTTTTGGGGGGTCTCTCTTGACTTTAGAATTATGTTGGTGTACTGTGACAATGCTAAAAGAAATTGAGTTTGAACTTCATTCGGGAGATTTGTAGTTGGTAGTGTTTTTAGTGCAGTACTTCTCTATCTAAGGAACGGTCTAAGAAACAATACAAAGTAAATTGACTAATTGCTTTATTTGTTCTTTGTTTGTGTTCCCAATAGCAATAGGCACAGTATTTTATTTCTAAATGTTATTCCTTCTGAAAGGAACAAAGCATAAATGATTTATTCATAACTGGGGCAGGGAAAGTGCTAGAACATCTTTTGGCAGAAATCAAAGTTTTAAAAATCTATGAGGCTATAATAATAAGAATTTTTAGGTGAGCATCTTTTCATTACCAAATAATGCTAATTGATATATCTAAATGGAGAGTCAATGTAACTATCAACATAATTATAGACAAAGACCGTCAGTAGATGCCAGAACTACCAGTTGTTTTTTTTTTAACTTAATCACTTTGAATTGTACGACTCTACTCTCCTGCCCTGTTGGGTTTCTGCTAAGTAATCTGCTGAAGGCTGTATTGGGGATCCCTTGAATGTGATGTTTCTTATTGCTTGCTGCTTTCAGTATTCTTTGCCTTTGATGTTTGATAATTTGATTACATTGTGATATGGTTTGTCTGTGTCCCAACCCAAATCTCATCTTGAATTGTAACTCCCACAATTCCCACGTGTTGTGGGAGGAACCCTGTGGGAGGTGATTGAATTATGGAGGCGGGTCTTTCCTGCTGTCTCGTGATACTAAATGAGTCTCATTTAGATCCGATGGTTTGAAAATGGAGGTTTCCCTGCACAAGCTCTCTCTTTTCCTGTTGCCATCCAAGTAAGACATGACTTGCCCCTCCTTGTCTTCTGCTGTGATTGTGAGGATTCCCCAGCCATGTGGAACTATAAGTCCATTAAGCCCCTTTTTCTTCTCAGTCTCTGGTATGTCTTTATCAGCAGCGTGAAAATTAGCTAATACATGTTGTGACTTAGGGAACTCCTTTTGGTTTGAATTTAACTGGCAACCTCTGAGCTTTCCATACCTGGATATTGCTGACTTTATCCAGTTTGAAGGAATTTTCAACCATGTTTTTTATATGCTTTTGGGACTGGAACAAGATATGTACATTTTTCCAATGCATCACCCCACGGATTACTACTCAGTTACAGAAGGTAAAAGACATATTAAAAATGAAGAGATCTGGTGTCAGTTACCTCAAATATGCATTGACAAAACAGCATAAAAATGACATTCCACATTCTTGTGATTGACCAGATGCAATAGGAAATACACATCATCTATGGTGTATATTTGCCAAGTAATTAGCCTCCAATAGTATAGAAATTCTTGTTGTGGGCCATTTTACAACTAAGCTGACCTGGACACTTCGAAAACTTATAATCATGAAAAACAGAAAATATAACAAGTAGATGGAAGAGATGTATAATTTAAAAGTAACTAAGGAGAACCGATAACCTCGTGAAATACATGATCTTTGATTTTGTTCTAGAGGAAAAGTGAATCAAAACCAAGGGACATGTTGAGACAAACAGAGAAATTTGAGTGTGAAGCATGTACTAGATGACAATGCTATATGAATGCTAACGTTTTGAGTGTAACAGTGACATTTGTGGTTATATAAGATAATGCCAATTTTTTAGGAGACCCATTTTAGTATTAAGGATAAAATGCTTCAGAAATTGAGGGCAATATATGTATAGAGAGATAAAGCAAAAGTCACAAGATGTACAATCGGCACACAGACATATATTTTAATATTCTGTTTGTTTCATTATTCTCTCACCTTTTCCGTAGATTCTCAGTTTAAAAAAAATTGAAGAAAAATATTAGCAGACCAAAATAAAATGTCGTTGTTATTTCAGAATGATAACATTGTTGGGTATTTCTTATATTCATTTTCAATATCTTTGAAATATTATGTCATTACCATAAAATAAATATATAAAATAAGGTATCTTTTAGTCTAGAGTATACTTTTTTTTAGTCTAGAGTATACTTTTTTTTTTTTTTATAGGAAACAGGCTATGATTTTTAAGAAAGTCCCAAAAGAAGACAAGAGAATTTGCAGTCTGAGGACAAAGCAGCTTGGTATCTCTGAGACCAGTGCAAAACTTACTAATGCATGTCAAGAGGACTTTTAGCAAATACACAGGACTATTTACTCTGTGTCAACCAATTCTGAGTATTCTACAGTTTGGCTGAAAACTCAAGAACTTTCAAAGGTGACTGAATGTAAAGAGAAGAGTAGTGATTTTCCAAAGTTAAGACTGGACAATATTTATTTGTGCAACAAGGAGAGAGGCTGTCTTAATTTGTCCTCTGCTGCTATAGCAGAATAGCTGAGGCTGGGAAAATGTATAAAGAAATTTATAAGGAAAAGAGCTTTATTTGGCTTGCAATTCTGGAGGCTGAAAAGGCCAATAGGGCATCAACATCTGCTGGACTTCTTTTGAGGGCTTTGTGCTGTGTCATAATATGGAAGAGAAGTGGAAGAAGGAGCAGGCCTGTGCAGGGAGAGCCAGGATGAGCAACACCATCACTTTATAACACCCTGCTTTTATGGTAACTAATCCAGATCCTGGAGAGAGAGAACTGACTCCTGGCATTCATCTTTGGTGAGGGATCTACCTCCATGACCCAAACAACTCCTATAAGGTTCAACTCCCATAAGGCTCACACTACCCCAGAGAAATGTGAGCAATGTGCCTGCAGCAACATTGCTACATTGAGGAACAAGCTTCAGCATGAGTTTTGGTGGGAACAAACCATACCTAAACTATAGGACAGGCTCTAGCAAGACAGTAAGAATAGAAAGAACTGAGAAACATTTTCCCTGGTTTCTCACAAACACTGTCCTATATTAGCCCTGATTCTATTGAAGATGTATAGAAGTACCACCAGTATCTCTAAGCCATGGACCAAGGACCTGAGTCCAGTGACACTGAACCATTGGCCATCAGAAGGCACTGGGGTTTGATGATGCTCAAATGTTTTTGAAACAGGGCTCAGTGCTACCTGAGATGTTAAGTTTAAAGGAAAAGTGTGTATCCTAGTATCCAGTATCTTGTTTGCAGAAGTTGTGAGTAGTCGGTGAAATGTGAGATATTAAAAAAAAAAACAAACCCTTCATATTCATTGGTGCTGGTATGTTCTGCTCAGCAGTAAAATCTGAACTGTAGCAAATCTTTGAGTGGAGACTGTTCTGGGCTTGCCTGGGAAGTAGATGGAGGAGAACCAGGAGCCAGCCTAAACGCTCAGAGACCCATGCAAAGGGAAAATAACTGCCTCCTCAGGAGAATTCAGAGAAATGTGAGCAAAGCACCTGTACCTTACACCTTACCTATTCTAGTCATGCCCTGGACAATGTATATGATGATGTAAGGGAAATATAGGAGAGTGGACAATTCTAGTTTATGCCAGACAGGCTATTCCAAATTGCGGGTAGTAACACTACAGATATCCTTAACAAAAACCAGATTTCCCAGGGCTCTGGCCTTTTCTTCCCTGAGCAGCACAATGACCGGTTCCTGCCTTGACAAGAATTCTGTCGTGGATTTCTCAGTTGTGCTGCCCAGGAAGCAGATGAGGCCTGGGAGCAATGAGGAATGTCCTCCCCGGACTTGGCATGCCTCACACGCAAGCACACCACATGTAGGTCCTGTGACTGATAGGTTTGATAGACAGATAAGTCCTGTTTCCAGCTACCAGCCTCCATCCCCCGAATGCTGTTGTCACCCAGAACTATAACCCTGGTCACAAAGATGGAGCAGGTAGTGACCCCTTAATGTGAAGAAATTTTCCATCATGCAATGATTGCTTGGTGCCTACATGAGTTGGACTCAAACCAGCAGCTTTTGGCCTCAGTAATAAATGATTTATGACAGAAGTGGATGGCTCTGGTAATTCTATACCCACAGGTATTCACCTGATAACCTTGACATGCATCCCCTAGGTTTTACCGGTTTGTCGGAATATCTCTGGGCGCACCTCACTGAACACATATATCTTCGTTCCCACCTCTCTGGACATTCATCTCCTTGTGTTATTGTCTTATGCCAACTCTAAGGAGCGCCATCCCCTAACTCCTTTTATTTCTTTTACTCAGGCAAGGAATAAAAATGTGTTTGTGACTAATGTTGCCCCATTAGAAACAAACAACAGATAATGACCACTACTGTTCAACTGTAATTTACACCAGAGGTGTAGCTATAAGGTTATTTTTAGATTTCAGCAAGTCTGTTTGATTTTGCATTTCTTACAATATATACTGATATTTTCAGGGATAAGAGAATTCCCCACTCATCTTTGATAAAAAATGAGAACTTACTTTCATTACATTGGTGACCCAAAACTATGGGCAGAACCATGATGAAGGCTTGGTACACAATGTATCATGAATGATAACAGCAAAGAGGAAACTGCTTATGGGCCTTCACTAAAAATGAACCCTTCCAACTTTGTGCCCAGCATATTATTTTATCCCTTTAGCTTACAGCGTGTCAGCTAGTTCAACAAGCTTCTAGGATATACTCGTGTCAATTACCCCAGCTTCTAAGCGCATAGGACCTGGAAGATAGAGAACCTAGTAAAAGAGAAATGCCCAAAGAGAAGGATAATTGCTGATAAGACAAAAAAGTCACTAATTGATATCTCTGTTTTGAGTTGCCTTCAACTCGAAACATCCAGCAGAGGATGGGCCTAGAGATGGAGTAGGAGATCCAATCCAGAAGCCCTACAGATGTGAGTGAGGACATGGCTGAACTTACACAGTCTGTGAATATGGTAAAGCAACTTTGTGCTCTGTTTTAGTTTATAATAATTGGTTTCTAAGAAGGTAGGCATTTGTGGAGGCAATGATGTCACTGTGGGAACTGCCATGAGAGGACAGGGACGTCCCTCCTCCTCTGCTCCTGTTCGCAGTGACCCTGATTGGGCAAAACTCCTATCCTGCCCTGAGCCTGCCATGGGCACCAGACTCCTCTGCTGGGCGGCCCTCTGTCTTCTGGGAGCAGGTGAGTCCTAAGAACACCATGATCACATTGGGTCTCTCAGTGATTATTTCAATCATTTCCTTCTATTTTCAAATTCTGTCTTTTTCCTTCACAGAACTCACAGAAGCTGGAGTTGCCCAGTCCCCCAGATATAAGGTTATAGAGAAAAGCCAGGCTGTGACTTTTTGGTGCAATCCTATATCTGGCCATGCTACCCTTTACTGGTACCAGCAGATCCTGGGACAGGGCCCGGAGCTTCTGGTTCAGTTTCGCAATAACGATGTAGTAGATGATTCACAGTTGCCTAAGGATCGATTTTCTGCAGAGAGGCTCAAAGGAGTAAACTCCACTCTCAAGATCCAGCCTGCAGAGCTTGGGGACTCGGCCGTGTATCTCTGTGCCAGCAGCTTAGCCACAGCGATGCAGAGACACTTCCCTCCTGTGCAGAAAACTGCACGCTCTCTCCTCTCTATCAGCTCACAGCAGCCTTTCCTTATTCCTCATCCTCCCAGGGAAGAAGCGAGTTTTCAGATATAGCTAGGATTCATACAGTGGAAGGAAATAAACTTTTTCTTTTCTTTTCTTTTCTTTTTGGTTTTGAGATGGAGTCTTGCTCCATTGCCCAGGCTGGAGTGTAGCAGTGCAATCTAGGCTCACTGCAGCCTCTGCCTCCTGGGTTCAAGTGATTGTCCTGCCTCAGCCTCCCCAGTAGCTGGGATGACAGACATGTGCCACGATGCCCAGCTAATTTTTGTATTTTTAGTAGAGGCGGGATTTTGCTATGTTGGCCGGGCTGATTTCAAACTCCTGACCTCAAGTGATTCACCCTTCTCGGCGTCCCAAAGTGCTGGAATTACAAGCATGAGCCATTGCACCTGGCTGGAAATAAACTATTTCTTAAAACGTGAAGATTGCATTTGTTATTTGAAAATATATCTAAGGAATTTGAAACACCTCTCGGTGAGAGTTCAAGAAACCAAAACTGAAAGTGACTTATCACAGACTTAGTCTTCTGGGGTACTAATAGTTGTTCTATTTTTAAAATGAAACAATATTTTATATCATTTAAAAAATACATAAATTTGAAAAATAAAAACATGTAGTCAATAAACATGTTTTAATAATACAGACAATGATTGTATGTGAGTGACAAACAGCAGGCTCTCCCTCTGCAGTTGTCGGCATATGAATGATTTGAATCTTATCCTTGGTGATACCCTGACTCTGGAGCCTCCTCTAGACCTCTCATTGGATGTGTTATGCAACCAAATCTCAACAGGTACTATGTGTTTGGAAATCTTTTTCCCCTGTTTTTGGGAAAATACGTTAATACGAGTAATGTTAATGATGATGATGTTGATAATTTCAACTACTTCATTCAGCACCCTTTAAATTTCCAAGAAATGCACTCAAATGGATATCCTGGCAATGAGTCCAAAATATTAGCTCAAAACCAACTCTGCTACTCCAGAGCTCTCTACCTCTTCCATGTAACAAACATATCCCAACATTATATACGGCTGGGTCAGCTAGTTCAGAGACTGATGAGGACACCTTCACTTGTCTGTCCTCATATATTAAAATAGCTCTTAGTTGATGTGGTTTGACTGTGTCCCCACACAAATCTCAACTTGAATTGTATCTTCCAGAATTCCCATGTGTTGTAGGAGAGACCAGGGGGATGTAATTGAATCATGGGGGCTGGTCTTTCCCATAGTATTCTCATGATAGTGAACAAGTCTCACGAGATCTCATGGGTTTATCAGGGGTTTCCACATTTGCTTCTTCCTCATTTTTTCTTGTCGCCACCATGTAAGAAGTGCCTTTTGCTTCCAGCCATGATTCTGAGGCCTCCCCAGCCATGTGGAACTGTAAGTCCAATTAAACATACTTTTCTTCACAGTCTTGGATATGTCTTTATCAGCAGCATGAAAACAGACTGATACATAAGTGCATTAGATATTCCTGAAAGAACTTCAGAAGCAATTAACTGCCCCTGGTCCAGTTGCCCCCCTCTGTTAATGCACTGTGTGTGTCCAACTATAGTCTCTACCCTAGCTTCTGCTCAGACTCTCTTGTACTAGAAATCATTCTGAAGGATTGGTTAGAATGTTTGGAAATGCAGTTTTCTGGGAATCTTCTGAAGGACTGTCACTGTCCCTCAGCCCCTCCTGACTTCCCTTTCCATCCGCCTGACTGCAGGTCCTAACTGATGGCCATGAACTTACTGCACATCTCCCTTCCTTCTCTGCAATTTACTTAGCTAATAACACCTCAGCCCGGTGGTGGGTGACCATGACCTTCCTCCACTTCCTTGCCAGAATTTTCATTTGGTTCTTTTTCTAATCTATGAGGTCATCTTTTATGGTTAGTCATTCCCTCATAACATTTTTTGAGTGTATCTTTTATTTTGTTGAGCATAGGACACTCAGTTATTTCAGTCTGCCTGCTTATTTTCACCTCTGTGGTCTTTGTGGACATTTTTTTGTGTGTACTGCTTCTCAGTCATTTGTTTGTATTTTTCCTTATAAACCTGATTATTTTTGACATCGTGCCAGACACTACGGTTGTAGAAATAATTTCTGGTCTAGGATGGATATACTTTCTCCAGAGATAATTTTATTGTGCTTTTTAAAGGGCATGGATGCATAAACAATCCAGGACTCCCTGAAACAGAATTCAAGGCTTGAGGTGTCCTAGAGCACCTGGAGGACAGGCTTCCCTCTACTTCATTGATTCTATTCAAGTCCCTCAATGGTCACATTAAGTAAGTTCTGGTCTTTGCCTTTACCCCCCTGGCCTGTGAGTCAGCTTCCTAAGTGCTGAGCTGGGATCAGCAAATGCCCCTAACAGCAGTGACTGCTGTGCTCACTCCCCAGGCTCCTGCCTTCTCCAAGATTCTGGCCCAGTCATTCCTCATTGTATCTTTAGGATACGAATTAGTTGCAGTTTGTCAGTGTGGTTGTTTTACCTAAGTACACAAATAATAACAAAAGCGTTAATCTGAGTTCCCTCTTCTGTAATTATACAGATTAAAGTCAAAACATTTTATTTGAGGTTTTAGTTTTCTTTGAATTTTAATGTCAGATTCTTAGTCTGTGATTTGTTTGATATTTGACTTAAATAGCATAGAGACATTATACAGAAACTTTAATTTCAAGGAAGGACTTTTTAAAAACTTGAAGTGGATTTATAATCAAGTTGGGACCCTCACTTGGTTTTGAGATTTTATCATTTGAGTATTTTTATGTTATTTATTACATAATCTTTGATGCTTCATTGGGTCATGCAACAAGATGAGAATAGAGAGTGAATATTTAGACTTGATCAGAGAGCACAAAGTGAACATGGAATTAATTTCTGTTGATGAAGAGTCAAACTATGTAAAATATTTGAAGACATTTATTCTAAGCCAAATATGAGTGACCATGGCCTATGAAACAGCCCTCAGGAGGTAGTGAGAACAGTGCCCAAGGTAGTCAGGGTGCAGCTTGGTTTTCTACATTTTAGGGAGACATGAGACTTGAGACTTCAATCAAACACAGTTAAGAGATACATTGGTTTTGGCCAGAAAGGCAGACAACTGGAGGCAGGAATGGGGAGAGGCTCCAGCTTAAAGGTAGATTTAAAATTTTTCTGGTTGATAACTGGTTGTCTCTCAGGTTAAATTTTAAAAGAGCCCTGGCTGGGTAGAAGTCCATTCAGATGACTGGGGGGCCTTAGAATTTTATTTGTGGTTTACACTTCATTTCTGCATTGTTGTGACGCATTTGTGCCGTGTTTTTTGAGCACACCTGAGGGGCAGGGGTCAGAACTAGAGGAAGTCTACTTATATCATCTTTCCTACTTAAACCTAGTCTTCTGGGAAAACGCTTTGCTCCACATTTTCCATTTTGGGGGAACTTCCCTAAAGTAATGCTCTAGTTTTATTCTTTCTATTGCTTGCCAATAGAAAGCAATTCCATGTGGGAAGAGAAATAAGTTATTTTATTTAGTCTCCTCTTCATCTGAGATTCATCTCTCTTCATCATCTCCTTTTCATCCTGGCTACTGAGAACAAAGGCAGATTTTTTGGTGCTTTTTCGAAATGCACTGAGATCAGTGGGGAACTTTCTTTTCTTTACAGGGATGGCCTGTAATTCGGAGGGGAGAGAGAATGGGTTAAATTCTGATTAAAGACAGTGTTGGCCGGTCTTTTTGCTCTCCCATCTGAGCCAGGTTGTTTATGGATATTAAAACTGATATTATGTCTCCATCCGTCAGACTGTAATGTCCATCTCTCAGGAGGTTTCATCTTAGGTCATAACATCGTTTTATGACCCTCCAACGCCAACAAATTATGATATCTCGTTTCCCCACGGCTCAATCAAGGGAAGCGCAAGTTCTCTATGTCTTGACAAAGAGCACATTTGTGCTGTTCCTGCCTACTGGCACTAGGAGGCACTGTGGTTTCATTGTCAACCGAAGTCTATGGGGGAGGGGATGGGATTCCTCCCTGGAGGATCCTTAATGAAAACCCTAGAGGTGGACCTAGATTCAGGGATCTGGGTTGGAGGTGTCTGCAATGAAGGCTGAGGATAAGGGGATTAGAGACCAACCCTTTTGCCTCTATTGATGCGGAGATGGGTTTTGCTCTAAATTGAGATTTGAATGGGGCTCTGAGTGGCAGGTGTGCTTGCAAGTGGATACACCTCCGAGCTCACTGAAGACGTGGAGGCACAAAGAGCTGGGTGGTGCAGCACCCATGATCTGGTCTGGGGAAAGCAGAGAAGCAGTTTTTGTGTCACAGGAGCCTTGCAGAGCCTGGCCCCAAGCCAGCCGAGGCCAGCCCTACCTGTTCTGTTGAGTGTAGAGGGAAGAGCAGGTAGAATTGGAGGTGCTATCCTGGACCATGTCAGACGGAGCTTGTCCTGAGGGAGCTTCAATCACAATGATGCTACCAGCAGCATATACACTTATTAGCAAGGCTTAGGGTGGAGTAGGACAGAATTTTCTCCCCCAAGAACTTTTGCTCTGAGCAGGAAAATGCCCCAATCTAGTTATAAGTCTGTTACTCCAGATGCCTCTGTGTCCCTGGAAGAAGGTGGGGTCTGGGCATATAAAAGTTTTGTTTGTTGGTTTGTTTCGCCTGGCTTGATTTCAGGTTTTCCCACGTGATCGCATATCTGACTCTACCAGTATTTTGTATCCGGCTTCTGCCTCTCTCTCCCATGAGTCCCATGGCTGCTACAAGGTACTCAATTTCTATTGCTGCTGTTACGAAGTACCACTAACTTGGTGGCTTACTGCCAGACAAGTATTACCTTACAGTTCTGGAGGTCAGAAGTCCAAAATGGATGTTACTGGGCTAAAATCCAGGTGTTGGCGGGGCTGCATTCCTTCCCGAGGCTCTCAGGGAGAACTGTTTTCTCTCTTTTTCAGCTTCTAGAGGTGACCAGTGTTCCTTGGCTCATGACCCCATTCAATCTTCAAAGTCAACAAGGACTGTCTGAGCCTTTGCTCACTCTGCATCACTCTGACACTCACTCTTCATCCCC